TATATGGACCTATGGACCTGTGTAAATGTACCAAAATTATAAGTAGTAAAATTCATAATATAGTAAACTAACGTATATATAAGTAATCAGTTTATAAACCAATGAAATTTCGGTAAGTTATCCATTTTTTTATCCCATACCATTTTCTTAGTTCTTTTGTGTGTTATTACTCTAATTAGAAACTAATTTAGCTTAATATGAATTTAGATGTTAATCAATATTCATAAAGTCAACCACTGAATTTTCATTCTATGAACTGTAGATTCGTAGCCTACTTAATTTTTATTAACCTACTACGACTATTTGAAGTTTAAACTTCAATTATTTTTTTTTAGAAAATCTTGTTTTAATTTCAAGTGTATACTATAAATTCTACCCCTTTAAAATAAGGGACTACCCGCTCTGCGGATCCGTTTAGGGGTAGCGCTCCTAATAAAATTTTCTCTGTGTCTTGAATTTGGATTCGAGACCTCTGATTAAGGATAAAGCACTCCTACCGTGCACCACAATGCATGTTGATAACGAAACAGATTACCTACTAATTAAAATGACTCAACTTCAACATGTTGTAATTTTCCCTAGTCCTATAATAACCTTCTCTTTTAAATTAAACCTTATCAATGTATGAGAGGAAAATGTGGTGACTCTTCTAATTACTTAAAAATGAAAAAAATTATATACGTTTCGTTACCACGTATAATTAGATACCCGTGAATCGAGTTGTTGTATAGTATTCTCAAAAACAAAATACTATTTTAATCAACATAAGTTGTTAAGTATCAAAAAATTGTTTAAAGGATTACTGAAAATTGAAATGCTTCTAAATGATTATTTTGATCTACTTCCAAACAATGCATATTCCGAAAGTCAAATAGTTTGAATTTGATCAAAGAATCTTCAAACGAAATTTATGTATTTATGAATTAAACTACGTTAAAAAGTACTATAAGTCACAATAATTAACAATTCAAAATACTTAAAACACGTATGAAGAATTAACGATTAAAGATAAACATGTATGAATTTTAAAATTCGAAATATATCACATAAATTGCGACGAAAAAGTAATATACAAGGTTGAAAGAACTTAGGGGATGTTGGCTAATGGCTGCTGGTGCATAGTGTTTGCAATTAAATTAGCAGTAGTAGTATAGAAGAGGACAAAATTAAAGAATCACGGATGGGCAACCAATTTAATGTGTCTCGTCCTCAAGTGAAGTTGTCTGGATTGAAACAAAGAAAGAAGCACTATTATATGTTTGAGAAAGTATTTATATTTATAAATTTATTAAATATGTATTAATTATTAATTTAAAATCTAATAATAACATGTATTCAGTGAAATATGGAATTCGAGAAGGGTACAAACATTATTATTTTGTGAAGTTAGAGAAACTGTTTTCGAAAGATGCTAGGTTCAAGTGTATCAAGAATAAAAGATGGAGAAAATAGTATGACAAGAACTATAAGGGTATGACTATACTACGACATAAACTAAACCTTCACAAGGCAAGACAACTATATCTCTACTAACCTTCTATCCTAATACGTGACTTCCGTTCCTTTCTATCTAAAGTCATGTCCTGTGTAATATGAGGTTCTGCCCATGTCATGTCTAATCACCTCTTTTCAATACTTTTCTCGGTCTACCCCTCTACAGACACTCTATAATCAACCCCTTGCACCTCCTCATTGAGGCGTCAGCGCATCTGCTCTGCACATGTCCATGTGCCCCAATCTCGCTTCCCTCTTAATACTGTTCGCAAGAGGTCACTTCTACAAATAACCTTATTACTCATCTTATCACTCTTTGTATGCTACCACATCTATCTCGACATCTTCATCTCCACAACATGCATCTTCTGGTTGATATCTACAATCTCGAATCTAGTACTTAAAAAACCTAGAATCACACATCTATAAACTTGAAATTTTGACTCCACCTTTATATATATATTAACACTTACAAATACACACATAACATTTTATGTGTATATATATATATATATAGACATGCCACACATGTTACAAGAAAATAGCTTAATACACTAAACTTTCGTTAAATATGTACAAATTTCGAAAAAAGATCGGACCACAAATATCTATTTACGCCGCCCCTGTTGATATATATAATAAGAATCTCCTAGGCAGGCACTTGGTTCTTAAAGGAGAGAAGAGTGAACTCGTGAACCCTCTTTTTCCAACTTATTGATTATTTATATGTTATAAAATGCATTTTATTCCTTTTTTCTCTCTTTTATATTCTTTTCAGCAAGCGCCAAATCTCTGATTGATGGCTCATCTTCGCTGTCAGCATTTCTTCATTTTTTTTCCTGTCAATTTTATTATTGTTTTATCTTATATTCTTCCAAATTTTACATGAATATTCATAATTATCATTTATAATTTACCGATGCACTAGTAAAGAAATGAAATCTCTTGTCCACTTATAAATTAATTATAAGAAAATTTTCTCTATTTAGATCTCCGGTAAAAAGTCTATAAAACTTATTAACACTAAAATAATTGTAAATGACCTACAAAATCAATCCTCTTAACTATTCTAGTTAGTTTCCATCTCATTTATTTTTTACTCCCCCATTTTAACTAAGTTGGATTCTAGAAGTATATTTACAGCGTTTTGTTAGGCACCATATCAAACATATGACAATATTTCATGTCAATATATCCTTACTAACATGCAAGACACTATATATATATATATATATATATATATATGCATAAATCATATAACAATTCGATTAATTTTAGTTATCTTTCACGAACACAATTATCCAATAATTCACAACAACGAGCAATTCATCTTCTTAGTAAATTTGATATGATAACCTAAAAATAAAATAGTAACTTGCTAACACAATGGTCCCATCAATTTATATAACTTAAATCATATTTTTCTTTTTTACTTATGTTCCATGAGGTGCTCTAAACTTCAAAATGGGACCAAAGACAATGTTTTGAGTTTTCATCCTAAACTTTGAGGTAATGGAACTTCTCTTTCTTTTTTTAACCACCCTAGGACCTCCGTCCCTTTTGCTCGGGTTGGAAATGAGGGGTGCTTATCATTCGAACAACTCCTTCTTAAGCAGTAGATATACTTTTTTCATTTTCCACTTTGACATCCACTAACATTATTCTACTATTACTAAAACTACTAAAACTATATCTCATGATGGAGGCTGTCTCACTAACCCCTTTTTATTCTTCTTTCTTCTTCTTCTACTACTACTCAACTTCACTTCTTATTAGTCTTCCTTCTATCCAATCAACTTCACCATGGAAATTGAATCATCTCCAACACCACCATCTCCTCCACTTAAAACATATAAACTAACAGCTTCTTCAATAGGCTATTCGAAATCAACCACGATTTCTCCTGCCTTGTTATTTAAGCCTTGTGAAACACCACCACCAATTAATATCTTGAAAAACATCTCTTTCACTGCTTATCCTTCTCAGATTCTTGGTATTGTTGGTCCGAGTGGGGCGGGAAAATCCACGTTACTCGACATTTTAGCTGCTGGAACTTCGCCTACAAGTGGCACTCTTCTCTTAAACTCTCTTCCCCTTCATAGTCCTTCTACTTTCCGCAAGCTCTCAGCTTATGTCCCTCAACATGATTGTAGTCTTCCGCAGCTCACTGTCTCGGAAACTTTTGCCTTCTCTGCCCGTCTACTCAACCCGAAACTCAATGATGTTTCGTGCATTGTGGATTCTCTTCTGGCGGAGCTCAGGCTTACACATTTGGCTCATACAAGGCTTGCTCATGGCCTCTCGGGTGGAGAACGAAGACGTGTTTCGATTGGTTTGAGTCTACTTCATGACCCTGCAATCTTACTTCTTGATGAACCAACATCAGGTCTTGATAGTAATTCAGCTCTGAATGTAATGCAGACACTCAGATCAATCACCGACTCGCGTCAACGTACCGTGCTGTTGTCTATTCATCAACCAAGTTTCAAGATTCTTGCCACCATAGATAAAATCCTGCTGCTATCAAAAGGAACTGTTGTCCATCATGGTACATTATCATCTCTTGAAGAGTTTTTGCTTGAAAATGGCTTCACTGTCCCCCCACAGCTCAATTCTCTTGAATATGCCATGGAAATGCTCAGCCAACTCAATGATAAAAAACCCATTACACCAATAAGTTCACCCCATCAAAATCCCACCACCACCCCTGTTCCTGAGGCTTCTAAAACAGGGGAAATCAAATATAGAAGTTCAAGATTACATGAAATAGCTGTTTTGTACAGCAGATTCTGGAAAATAATTTACAGAACAAAGCAGTTACTTTTAACAAACACCTTACAGGCATTAGGAGTTGGTCTTGTTTTAGGTACAATTTACATCAACATTGGATTTGGTAAAGCTGGAATCGAGAAAAGATTCGGACTTTTCGCTTTCACTCTCACTTTCCTTCTCTCTTCCACAACTGAAACTCTCCCAATCTTCATAAACGAAAGACCCATTTTACTAAGAGAAACTTCAAGTGGGGTTTATCGATTATCTTCCTATCTCATCGCAAACACACTAGTTTTCCTCCCTTACTTACTAGTCATCGCAATCTTGTACTCAATTTCACTTTATTTCTTAGTGGGTCTTTGTTATTCATGGCAAGCATTCACATACTTCGTTTTAACAATTTGGGTCATCGTCTTAATGGCGAACTCATTCGTCCTCTTCTTAAGCTCTGTTGCACCAAATTACATCGCCGGAACTTCGCTCGTAACTCTACTCCTCGCCGGATCTTTCTTGTTTTCCGGCTACTTCATTACGAAGGAGACGATGCCTAAGTTCTGGACAATGCTGCATTATTTGTCCATGTACAAGTATGGTTTAGATGCATTGTTGATCAATGAGTATTCTTGCCTTGTCGCCAAGTGTTTGATATGGTACGATGAGAAAAACAGAGTGTGTATGGTGAGTGGAAGTGATGTTTTGGATAAAAGAGGACTCCATGAAAATGAAAGATGGACAAATATATATATCTTGATTGGGTTCTTCGTATTCTATCGATTGCTTTGGTTGATTGTATTGATTAGAAGAGTTTCAAGATCAAAAAAGTGATACATCACTTTCATGGATTGTCAATTTATCATGTTTGTTTTTTGCTGTTTCTCTAATCAATTTCATGTAACAAAAATAATAATTCTAACATTTCTTTTCTTTCTTCTTCTTCATTATTTCGCCTGCTATGTTTAATGAAATTTTAACTTTGAAAATATTATTAAATATTCAGTCCGTTTAAAAAAGAATAACCTCATTTCTTTTTTTAGTAATAATTTTTCATATGTTATGTTTAAGATCAAAAGTCTTCTTCATTTTTTTAAATTTTGTGTCAAATCATTTTTTATAAAACAAGAGAATAATAAAAATATGTTTATTCTCTTTTGAATGAGATAGTCATGTTAGTTTTACTTTTCTGTCTGGTTTAGGACCATTAGATGATATCATTATATGAGAAAAATAGTGTGTGAATCTTACATCTCAAAGAACAAAGAGATTCTTTTTCACCTCGAGGTGTAAAAGAATCAAATCGGAAGCTTGTTGAGAATATAATTAAATAATAAAATTATGCTTTAAATGTACAAGTATTTTTTAAACTATGATCGAAATCCTAGAGACATAACTTAACTAAACTAAGTTCTATTACACCCTTAACTTTTTTTCTTTTTTTTTGTAATTTTGTACATTTCTTGACTCAACGCAATTGAGGCGCATGAGAGATAAGATGTCACGTTAGCCAATAAGGTGCACACAATTACAAAAAATAAATAAATTTAAAGGGTTAATAAGTTAATTTAATTAAAATATATCTTTAACATTTCGATTATAATCTAAAAATACTTATACATTTTTCCTTTCCTTTTCTAAAAAAAAAATGAAATAATCACACACTTCGCCCTCTTTTATCTCACTTTTCTGTCTGGTTTATTTAGATGATCAATAGTTTCACGGGTGCCCTTTAGGGTCCAAAATTCTAGTGAAAGCTATTTGGACTCTAGAAAATCACTTTCATTATTAATTAATTAATGATGAATATATCTATTTAATTATTATACAATCAATCTTCATAAGAAATCAAATTAAAAGTAACAGACATATATATATATATATATATAAAAGATCAAGTCTATGTGGAGAAAAAAGACAAATATAATGAGAGGGAAAGCTCAACCACGAAAAATTGAGGAACAGCGACGTCACGGGTACATGAAATGAAACAAATGGGGTATGAATAATTCGAACATCTTGTCGTTATATATCACGCTCGTTGTTATCATTTCAATTTATATGACATATTTTTTTTAAAGAAAATTAGTTTTGTAGGTTATTTATATTTATTTTAATTTTATTATCTTTTTTAATAAGATATTTACGTTTTTACATGTAAGAAATTATGCAACTTTACTAAAAGCGTAATGTTACATAAATTGAATCGAAGGAAATAAAAGAAAAAATTAGGTTTTTTTTTTTTTGTGTGTGGGGTAGTGAAGTAGTAGTAAAGAGTGAAAAAGGCAATGGATAATTGGTTTGCATTTGTTTGGTTGCTACAGAATCAGTGTTTGTTCACGGGTTCTTCTTATTCTTTTGCTACCACGTGAACATTTTCTTTTATTTCTCTTGCACCTTAATGTATTGTCTCACCCCCCCTCTAAACCCTACCTCCCACAACCAAGTGGCCAATTATTTCGAATTTATCTGAATCCAATATTGAATTTATTGCGTTTATATTCAACACTAAGAATTAGGGACTATGTATAGATATTAATTTATTCACACAACAATTTTCTTCTCGTATCGACGAATTAGAAGAGATGTCAACCGGTAACCGTATCTGAAAACAATGATTAGTGGATATTGGTACTGTCACTGCACAGAGGCGACACCCTCCTTAGAAAGTTTTTGGCGTTGTGACTATCACCGTAAGTTATTTCGAATTAATATCGAGATAAGAATAAATTACAAAAATAACTAAATTCAAATTCATTTATCGTAGATCTACTCACCCGGATGCTTGAATCTATTCCACGTACTTTTGACCATATACTTTAAAATTTTGAGACTAAGACAGAATACAAGGTGGTGGCTGCATGTTGATTAGAGTGCAAAAACAAACATACTTATTTAATATGTATAACATAATTTATTCCCAACCTAGTAAATAAAAAGATTTGTGGTATATATATAAAATCTATAAATTTGAAATTATAGCTTAACAATGCTGCTAACTATTGCATGAATTGAATTCAGAGTCTTATTATCGTGCATTATCAAAATAATTTTCATGCATGTGACCATTTCAAATAAATCGTAAGGGACATTATAATTAAGTAGCATGTCAAAATATATTGATTCGCGTATTATCGTTTCTATTTGCGTGAACTTACAAAATATAGTAGATAGCATTTAGTAAAATGTCAAAATATATTTGAGAGTATAATATAAATCGAATCTTTTTCAATTATGTCCTAGGTCATATATTAAGACTGCTTGCTCTAGTATAATTATTTATTTATTTAAAGCATCATCGTCTGTTATCTGTCTATTTCCTCTTTATTCTTTTAGCTCAAATTATAACGTTTTACCTGATCAAGACAGTTGTATTAATTTGTACATTTCGACAACTTTCAGATAATTTATGTCCCACTTGAGAGTTTTCTGTGACTTGTGACTACAAAACTTCTTGAAGAATGAATGGGTGGATTTAGCCAAGCACATCGAGAGTTCAATACTAACATATATTAACAGGAAACAGATCCAATACAAAAAAGCAAGCACACTTCACATTCACTGCTCTTAAACCTACCATTCTTCATCGTTATAGTGTATACATCAAAAGACAAGCATCATCTAATGAATGTAATACAGACTTTATCCAAATCATCTTACTGTTTAAACACATTAAATGATATGAAAGACAATATACTGAAGTTGCCAATTTGAGGTCAGACTGTAACTAGGAACACAATTGGCGCAACACTTTGTCTAAATAAAGGTTGTGCAGCAAGTTTTGAGAATGTATTGAGCTCAACCTGAGCCATTCTTCCATCACTGATGATAGAACGTCATCATTGAAGGGGCGACTAAGCCAAATGCAATATGCGATATCTGAATCCATTTGATCCTGAAGGTATTGTAATCCGCCAAGGCAAAATCAGATCATGAAATGCTTAAGAACAAAAATTCTATGTAGAGTTAACTTTATGTTCATTTTTTCCATTGATAAAGTAGAATTTTTTTAAACAATAAATGGCAATAAACAATGAGAAATGTACCTTGAAAAATTATCCAACGCCTCTGACATACTGATCGAGGGTAGAATTAAATAGCTCACACCTACATAAACAATGACCAACTAAATGCTCATTGGAAATTTTCACAGGGAAAAAGAGACGGCAACATATTGTAATTCTCAAGAGTACAACCTGGGAAATATTTTTTTTCATTCTCTTTTCTTTTTAAGAAGAAGAACCCATTGCTCCGCAAATATCGATCAAAACTTGAACCCTCATATAGGTACACAATTTCAGAAAGCACAACAATTGAAATAGACAGTTCGTATTGGTATCAGATCTATACCCAGGTTGCTACTAACAATTTTTTTGACCCATTTTCTGGGTAAAGTCTCCAGACTATATTTGAAAATGAAACCTTAAACATAACGGTCACTTGAGAAAATACTTCTTCAAGAGTTCATATGAATTATACACATTCAAGGGAATGATCATCAAGATCAAAGACATACTCTTTACATGCATAAGATTTTGGTCGTAAAGAAAAGAATATGCATAAAATATAGGGGAGACATCTGGCAGCTCGGCCAAAAATATTTACAGCAACTAGTAAATATACTTATACCATACACTAATTATACATATATTATACATTTGGCAACTATTTTTTGGGCAGAAGGCTATTTGAGATAATTTCCCTAAAATAATATAATCCAGATATTGTATAAAGTCCAAAAGTTTTGAAGAAAGCTTCTGAGGGAGAAAAGGGAAAGATCCTAAAATTTCATTCCTTCAACACAAGAATTTTGCAACATCGCAGTTTCATGTCTTTAAGAATCAATCAAACAGGAATAAAACCATGGCAAGATCTCAAATTTCTTTATTTCTTTTGAAGTTGAAATCATCATCAATCATTCATTAACTGTGACATCCCTCTTATCAGATGCATGTTCATCATTTTAGCTGCAATATTCTTAATCAAGAAGTAGAAAGCCTCATTCCAAATCTTCCCTATATCACTACTTATTTAACCAGAAAATGAACCATGTTTATCCAACATCACGTTATTCTTCAAGTAGGGACTTCTCTTTTAGAATACCACGCAGGGTGGAACATCATATGGTATATTACTAGGTATTATAGTGGTAAGGTGGAAGATCATATATTATCATCATACTATATATTTGCACCCAAAGGTGTTACCTATTGATCAATGAAGTGGGGAAGAACCATCCCATGTTCAAATCCCAGTGGAGGGAAAAAACACTGAGTGATTTCTTTCACTCTGCCTAAGCCTTGGTGGCAAAGTTACCAGCACCTATGCGTGTTGGCGGGAGGTAGTTGTTACCCAATGAAATTAGTCGAGGTGCGCCCAAGCTAGACTGGACACCACCGTAATTTCTTTTTAAAAAAAGAAACTACAAAAACAAACTCACATAAATAAAACTTTCACTATTTAAGCAGAAAGTGCAATTAACTTATTGCAACAACAGCATATTCTAGCAGCGAGATAAGAAACAATCAAATCCCGCACAGTGTTGGTAGGCTAAACCTGTATTATTAAGCACTCACTTGATAGGAGCCCCTGGGGAGTAGAGCGGATTCTTCACCACATATTCAACATACAAATTGTAAATATACTTCAAAGATTCCCTTAGATCACCAGTCCTAGGATGTGTGACAAGGATGATCTGCAACAATTTAACATAATTCAGACATGCACCAGATGCTTGTAAGGTTAAATAGAACCATTAGCTATTTGTTGCCTATTGAAGGAGAAAAGAGAAGCACAAAGAGATACAGTCATGAACAGTGATAAAGTAATACCAATAAAATGTACTTTATCACAACAGCTATCAAATAAGTAGCAAGACAAAGATTCACTTTTCACACTAGAAATAACACTGTTATTACAATGTTTCTGATATGAAATTCTCTAGTAGACATAATTTTCATCCTTCAAGTACCCTGCCATACCCTCTCATCCAGATCCTTTACACTCATTTTATCTCCAAATGGAAAGAAACAGCCTTTCCTTCCCTTGTACAAAAGAAAGGGCCTTTTTTTAAACAGTACACACCATTTGAGACCTCAAATACTATGAGGGGAAATGGTTGTGTGTCACGCGTGGTAAGTTAAGATGGAAGAATTCAGAGATTTACAAGTTACCTTCATAGATCATATAATTGAGAAGAAATCCACATAGCAGGAATTCAACCACTATGATCAAAAGCAAGTACCACTTACAGTTTTACCAATGGTACTAATGAAGGTGCTAAAAGGGAAAAATACATTTGCCAAATCACATTCCACAAGAAATAACCCTTTATTTTTCCTTCTTCTTGAGGAATAAGATCATAAACATTAGGATAAACAGATACCAAATTCAGCTGATTCAAAATTTTATCTATATGGAAAATCATCTCATCCTTCAAACACATGCACTACAAATCAGTGATACAGCTTGGCAGTTTATCACCATATTGATGGAGAATTCTAATAACAGTGATAGAAGCATGTTGACATAAATAAAACCATTTATTTGAACATCACAGAAGGGGATTATGACTTGTCTTCTACAGAATGAGGCGGACAAACATAGTGCCACAAGAAGAAAGCAAGCCATAAAGCTGCAAGAACTAGGCCATATGGTGGCTAGTGATGGCTGCTTATATGAGCATGTAGCCAAACCAACATTCTCATCAAAGAAGAAGAATCTAAAATCAGATAATTTCCTTCATAGAATTAGAAAGCAGCTGCACAATGTTTTTTTTTTCCTTCGAAGACCCCTTCTCAATTCATTGATGTAAACTCATGTAAGAGGCACAAATAGCCTTATGCTGTTATTGGGCATCTTCCTAATGATTTTTAATATACTGGTAAAGCTCTTCTCCCTCACTCAATGTTATTTTTCCTTTTCCAGAATAAAGTAGGTTTTTTATTCTATTACATCCTTGAATCACTTGGAAGAGATATTAGATAAATAGCAGCATTACTTGGATCATTTCCTTTAGTTCTTTCAACTGAATGCATCCAGACTATCCATCCTCTCTCCCAATTCAGAAAGATAAGGCTTATATATGTAACATAATCAAAATGTAACCTCATAACAGAACAAGTATATATTGACTGCACTACAGCTACGAACTGTCCACTAGCCCTTGAGTAACATGAATACTACAATAAATAAACTGACCAAATCAAAAGATGGCACCAGGAAGAGACCAAGAACAATTTCAATGGAACTTATCATAATCACACAATGATAGTAGTCCTGACAGAAAAAATCATTGTATGACAAGACCTACGACAATTTCAGTGGAACTTATAAAAAAAGACAATTCAATGCATCACTGACTGACCTTTATTCCAGATGGACTTTCCATGAAACTGAGTTTATATGTATTAGTCCGAAAGCTGTGAAACGAACATCCTTGTCCAGGTAATTGCGGCACCCCAAGATTACCTTTTTCAGTACTGCCCAAATAGATTTCAAGTGAAAAGAGACTACATTTTGATAATTAATCCTAACACGAAAATTTTTCCAAGAAGATGGGAGTTGGGAAGGGGAGATCAAGGATTGAGCGAACAATCCAGTCAATGAACTATGCCTCAGTCTCAAACTAGATGGATCAAATCAGTTATACATATTATATATATTCATTCAACCATAGTATAATTTATGATCCTTTTCATTCCAATAATACAAAATACATTTGTTAGATCAAAATATCGGATTTGGGCAATAGAGAAGAGAAGGAGAGACCTTGTGGGATCCATCTTAGCGGTCAAAGATTTGAGAGAGAAGAGCAAACCAAACATGAGCTTATGGTCCTGCTGAGGGTTTAAAGTCTTAAGAGGCCGATTCCATTCCCTGTAAAGAAGACACACTCCGTTCCTATTGAATACATACAGCATATGTGCATTATTGCCTGATGCTGTCGGCGGCGGTGGCGAGGGACTGATCTCTGATCCTCCGAAGAACTGCATCTTCTACAAATACCTATCACAAAACCGCATCAATTTCAAGTTTGATAGCTTTTTTTTTCAAAATCAAATGATCAACTGATAAGACCCAAACGATTTTTAAATTAAACTAAAACCTAAGCACATTTTCATAAAACGCAAACAAGGAAGAAGGTGAATACCTTTACTGTGGATCGATTGACTGGGTAGAGGCAGTGATTGAGAAGCTTTGTGGACTGCTCAGGTAAAGAGAATTTTGTTTGTGTTTGATTTAAGAGATTCCACAAATGGCGACCAGTCGGATCCTCCCATCTCCGGGTCGGCTAAATTCGTTACCGGAACAATGGCCCGTTTGGTTGGTTTGTTGGGTACCATTAATCGTTTTTGTTTTTTTTTGGTAAAGAAACATGTGCTCAAGTTAAACAATAGTTACACCTACCAGTTTATAATAGGATAAAAATATGAGTATTAACAAAGATGTCATCGTCTCTTTAGACTGAGATTTTCCTTTTCTCCCCAAATACTTTGAACTCCTATATTTATTAATACATTACAATTATTACAAATTTGTGCATTATATTGGGATAACTTTATACGAACCAAATATTCCGTAGTACTAGTAGGATGAAAGATTAGACTTAAATATATCGAATCGTTATAACACGCAAGAAGTCTTAATTTTTAAGACTGCATGTCAATGCTGCACAGAAAAGGATAACATCCACCACCATTGCATACCACGTACTGAATTGTTAAACCTGGAATTCCCCTACACATCTACAGACGTAATTAGGGAAAGGAACCTCCTCATTGGGTGAAACTTAGAAAAACAAAAATGAAATTCTAACAAGATCTTGAAAAGATAAGCTGTCCACAATTTGAAGATATATTACTGTTATCTCAATCCAACAGCAAAGAACAAAACTTAAAACCTTAGAAAAGAAAATATGAACAAATTCTTCTATAATAAAAATAGCAATGAAACAACTTAAAATGCAAAGTCAAAAAACATCAACAGAGGATCGATTCTAGATCTCCCATTTCTTCAGCTCCATGCCATCCGGAGGGCTTCCTTCAACCTTCTTTGTGCCAACTTCTTTCCAGTTTGTCGACAAAACAGTCCCATTAGATTCCACCTGACAGGCAGCACATATAAAAATAACATATTACACCACATAAGACTTCTGTCATCCGCAAGGAAGAAATGCAACAAATTACCAAGCTTACAAAGTTCATCAGTCAGAGGATAACAACCTAAATCTGACAGGCACCCTTTACAAGAAAACTTGAAATAAGCTACAGAGTTGAGAAAGACAACTTCTTAAACATGACAAATGGTGCACAAGGATAAGGAAGTGTTGTGAGATGTTTTAAGATATTTAAAGAAGGAATAAGAAGACGACAATATTATAGGTTGGTAGGCATCTTCCCAAAGGAAAATGCAACAGAGAGAAAGCTAAGTGCATCTAGTACTAGCCCCAAAGCACTGGCCTAGGAAGATTATGTCCCATCATAATGGAGAAACTAATGTCCTCCACGAGGACTGTTAGAGGTATTCCTTTTTTGAAATATATAATATATAGAAAGGATCAGGCTTACAAAGGATTTCATCATAGCTCTTCTAGTGTCCTCGTCAGCATCTTGGTAAATGTCTCTGAAAAATTTGTTCAATGCTGCATCTCCATCCAATTTTTCATCTTTTTCCTGGAACACATTCCAAGCATTCAGGGACAAAGAAACTAAACTGCAGAGTCTATCGTGATCTTTAGACAAGGACATCAAACACAACACTGTAATGTTCTAAATACCTCTTTTTTCACTTCAGCTTCTAGTTTATCCCAATCTACATTTCTCAGTTTTGAGGAAGGATAACTGGGCCGCGGGGCAGCTGTAAAATGCAAAACTAATAGTAAGTTCTGCTGCTAAATAATTAAACATCAGATTTGGTACAAAATTCATTGGTCCTTGTAAGCGACTCCATTTAAGTAAACATGAAGAAACTATTGAACTGACAATTGCGTGAAGGGGGAGAGGAACCCCATTGATAGCCAGAATAACATATTAGACTAGCAAACAGGTTTACCTGATGACACAATAGGCCTCTGAATTACAACAGGTTCCGTTGTATACTCAAGCGATGTCCAGTGTAACAGCTCAGCTTTCGCAAGGCGGATCTCAATTTTGGTAGACATCACTTCGTATCTGCATTTTGCAGGTGTTATCTGCCAATCATGAGAGGACCAGCACGAGATCACAGAGTAAGCATCTTCAGTTACTCGGGGAACAATTTCAGAAATTTTAAATGGAGCTCCGTCCAAAAATATCACAGCCATATTTTAAGCTTAGCCTCACCTTGCCAAACAACCTAGGCTGGAAAGAATAAGTTTCTTCACCTGGCACATCAATGCTAACACTAAGCTGTGCAGCAACCAAGCAAAAAATGAGTACTTTGTCATCCAATCTTTTGAATAAAATTATCTCAACAGGATAAGATGGTAAAACATACTATTTGTTCACCAAAGTCAACAACAACATTCTTGGCTGGTATGCCCTTGGCAAATATAGTCACCACCACCTCCTCTGGTTTCTGATAAAATTCATGTCTGCAATTACATACATCAGATTAGCCCATGTTCTCCAAGAAAGAAAAAAATTGTATTTAAATAGTGCCAATCAATTATGGTCATAACTTCACGAGATGTTCACCTTCTTTACATTCATACAAAAAAAATTGGTTAAATTGGTTGAGAAATACATTCATTCTTCTCTGTACACAATACCATTAACTAATTTTTTGTGTACTTTTGTTTATAACAGCAAAATGAGATCTAAACATCAAATGTGTCTGACACTAGGTTTGACTGTAGTAGTACTTTGTTATTACAATTTCACAAGTATCCCCACATTGATAAGATTATTTACCCTATCAAAAGGTACTATCTCAGAGTTACTGGACTTAAACGACTCACTAACACAGCAAAAGCTTTGGCATAAAACCTGTATTTTGGTTTGGCAGCAGATCCTTGATGGGACTGGTTGACCGTTGGTTGAGCACCTTCAGGCGCAATAGCAACATTGTCCGGTAACTCAGATGCAGGATGTGCAACAACACTAGCTGAGGTTTTATCCACCGACAGATTAGGCAATTCGCCAGCTTCCTCTGAATTTGGAGCAAAAGACCATCGATTAGTTTCACTAAGCACTTAATGTTGCTAATAGCATAGTGAAATATACACATAAATCTGTCAGGAAAATAACCACAATCATTAAAAAAAAAAAACGTGGCTTTTGGTATTTTCTTAAACTATAAACTGCCAATTTCTCATATCATCACCAAGTCTCCATAGATGCCATGAGTTGATGTTAGAACTGACCAGATTTGGGAAATGTTAGAAGAGCCACAAAAGCACTAATTTACCTATATAATACCAAAGTCTCCAAAGATGCCATGAGTTTATGTTAGAATTGAACAGATTTGGGAAATGTTAGAATAGCCACAAAAGCGCTACTTTACCTGCAATATGTTCATCACATTCTTTCATTAGCTTACTGAATCTTAACTCTCCTGGTGCTAAACTGGCACCAATTTCCAAAGCTGCCTTTGCAGTTTGGTATTCTTCAAGCTTCATACAGGCCAACCTAGAAAAGTAACAAAAAAAAAATTAATTCAACAATGCAGTATCTAGTAAAACAAGAAGTGACAGATAGCAAGTGCTACTGCAAAAAATAGTGTTGTTTCACTTAGTCTTTGTTGATTATCAAAAGTGCAGGTAAAACCTAAACAAAATTCTCCCTCCATTGCTTTCCACCAGTCCAGTATTGACTTTACATTTCCCTTGATAATTATTCGTTAAGAGTTTGTTTATTTAAATTATCCCTATTAATGGTTATTAAAGTTCTATCAATAAAGCAATGATTGGAAAGTGTGGGTACATAATGATAAAGAGAGCATCGGAAGAAAGTTATAAATCTCCTTTGATTTGCTAAAATGGACAAGGAGAGAAATACTTTTAGTATACTGGACTAGCAAAAACAATGGAAAGTATATTATAAAATACTTAATAATTACATGGTACTGTAGTAACATTTTTGGGGAATTACAGTCGAGAGGTGGTGGAAAAATTTATGATGCTGCAGAGTCTTTCTTGGAGGATGATGAAAACCAGACATATTCAACAAACCAATAAATCATGAAAATGACAAATCTAGATTTCACCATCACCTATTGCAACATCCCAAATCACAAGAGCTAAATCACCATGTCAGTTTTCAGGTGAACGTTGTTAGATCAAGACAACAATACCATAGCACATGATATGAGAGCAACAAAAACATGTAGTGAAAAAGTAATAAAACTCCACAAAATCTAAACAAGATTTACGCACAGGAATAAGAAAGTAATTATATACTCACCCCTTGCGTAAATATGCTTTTGACATTGTAGGATCCAACTCAATGGCCTTGTTCGCATCAACAACAGCTTCTGCTCACATGTAAACATTATTAAAATTGCTACCCCGTTTAGAATGATAATTATTAACACCATAAATAGTGAAATATGATGATGTATGCAGATACATACAAGTAGTATTCAGAAAATACAAGACGTTGATGCATACATATACAGATATCTTTGCAGGATGCAATGCCTATGAACCTCATTCAATCTCATAGAACATAAGAAAGCTAACGAGATATAACACAGGAGAAAAATTTCAACAACCACGGCTTTTACTGTTACCAAAAAAAGAGACAATAGAGTTTGACTTTGTGAATCCTCCCTGTTCATCTCATTCCAAGACTAAACAACCAATTAAACTTATAAGTCAAATTAGGATTCCCAAGATTCTCTAAATCTAACACTTAACCAATAAAACAAACACCGGATCTAATAAAAGCGTAACAACAACACATTAAAACCGTAATCCAAAAAAAGGCTTAACAAACTCTTCACCATAAACCCCACGCAGTCAAGTAGCAGATAGCGGTAATTAACTTTCGTAATCAAGCAGAGAAACAAATACGCCGAAAACACAAAACGAAGCACAAATCCACAAAACCTTCAACCAATTCTATAAATCGCAGAACACAAATAACATAGCAAAATAATAGAATCAACGCCGTTTCTTACAAATAATGAAATTAACGGATAAATTAGGTTTAGAAAGGATGATACCAGTGAAGTAGTTGAGTTTGATATTGGCCTGAGCACGGTCGGCGAAAAGTTCAGGGTTCTTAGGGCTCAGCGTTATGGCTTGAGTGTACAGGTCAACGGCGAGTTCAAAGTGGTCGTCAATGAATGCCTCTTTAGCCCTAGTCTCCAGATCGGACGCCATTGGTGATGGAGAGGAACTCCAAAGAAGTATCTAGAACAAGAGTGAAATGGCAATTGGAATGGATTTTTTTGAGACTACAGAGACCTTGGATTATTTCGGCTCTTTATATATAAAATCGATTCAATTATTGGAGTTTTTTTTTGTATAGAAAAAGAGGAAAATACTAAGAAAAGGGTTTAACAGGTCAAGTCTCTGCTAATAAATTAGGGGAAAATATTTATCTAATGTCTAAGTACTAGTCTAATAAGATTATTATTTCAATTATTAAGTCATGTGTATAAATAGTAAAAAAGGTAAATTATGTTTTTAATTAATTGAATATTTACTATTAACTACCAAGCGGACAAATTCATTTGTAATAAAATTTAGCTATAAATTGATTTTTTAAAAATATTTTTTTCTAGTTATATTATTTTCTACTCAATTCTCTGAGTCTCCGTTTGATATTGTTTGTGTTAATTCTCATCATAAATATATGTATTTGATGTTAATTACTCGGATGATTAAATTAATGTTTTTAGTTACAAAGTGCACTAATTTTTGTTTAGTAATCTTTCTGCATTTGAAGATAGAGACAGTGTCAAGTAAGGTCAAGAAGGTTCACGATGAAAAATACATTATTATATATCATTAAACGATTTTTATGTTAGTAAAGTGAATTCTGAATTCTTTATATATATATATATATATTCATATCTTAAATTTATTAAAGGTAGGGGTTTGTGTGTCCATTGCAAAAATTGTAATTTATTCTATAGAAAAAATGTGTACAATTGTATTCTGTTCCCATAAAAGAAATTCCTATTTGATTGCTCAATCTGCGTGATTAGATATAAAGAAACTTTTTGTTATCTCTTTATAAATCTTTTTCCATTTTTATTTCTTCCTAAGAATTTATAAATTATACATTAGTATAATAAATATTTTAAAAGTATAATATAAAGTGATATTTATAAGATTTATAGAAATATATTATTAAAATTTAATTGGTTTCTGTTTGACTTTGATTTTTCTTTTAAAATCACATCAAGTCATATTAAATCACTAATAAAAATTTAATCATTTTTTAATTTATAGATTTGGTGTGATTTGTCAATTTCCTTTTAATATTTTCAACTTTTTCTTTTATGTATAGTGAAAAAATTAAAAGTCTACTTAAATCTTTATATATTCCTCATTTGTTTGTTCAAGACTTCAAGTATCGATCTTTTATAAATAATGTTATCTTTTATTTTATTTTATTTATTTTTAATCTTCAAAAACTTCCTCAACTAATTAAGGTATATGTGACGAGAATCATTTTATTATATTTCAAAATTCTATGTGATCAATGTAATTTCCATTTATTGTTGAAAAATAGGAAATTCTGAGGATATGGCTACACCAAAAAATTTACAAAATGTTTGACATCAAATGAGATATTTATGAGCTTGTTATTGTTGTTTTCTTTTTGTTTTGTTTGAAGTGATGATATTTTTTCTTTTTTTCGTAATATATAGATATAAAAAAAAAGATTATTTATAAATTTTATGAGAGTTTTTTCTGTGAAGTATGGTCAAGTTTATTAATACAAAATATAAATAATAGAAAAGGTAGAAGTTCACTTTGTGAAATTATAATAGGTCAAGATATTTGAATTTAGAGGCTGATGTGTGCTCTTCAATTTGTGATTTAGGTGTTATATATGTCTCATTAAAAAGTGGCCCTCACATATTTTTTTCCACTTATGAAATAGAACAAATTGATTTTTTTTTATTAAAATAAAATTCATATAAGATATATTTGATTCATTTTACCAAATTGAGGAATATATTTAATAATTCTCACATGTAAATACGGGTGAAACTTATTCATACCGAGTGTTTACATCAATCCGATACATGCACGCCACGTGATTAAATTTATAATTCATTTTATTTCAAACTTAATTAATTAACATGTGTTTTACTTTATTGAATCACATTATAATGGATTTTGATGTAAACACCCGGTGCGGGTAAATTTTTTTCCGTAAATTCTATTTACATTTTTAATTCAATACCTAATTTTTAAAATTTTTTTTGATGACAAGAAAAATCCGCAGACACTATCTTTTGGGTGCGCACGGAGTAAAATCACTCCGCTCCTATACAATAGCCCGCAAACCACATAGCACTGTAACGACATTAAATATTGACACTAATAAAGAGTGTTAAAGTCTTCACCAGCATTAGTTAAGTGTTATTAAACCAATGTCGCTAAAGGCTTTAGAGACATATACAAAGAGTGACAATTGCTGCTAAAAATACATATTTAGCGGCAATTAAAAATTAAATGTCACTAATGGTCATTTTTGTTGTAGTGCAGGAGAGTTAATCCGCACTAGGCAAGGTTGATGCGATGAGCTCGATCCAGAAGTCAAATCCCTTACTTTCGCTGACAATGATTTTTAAACTTGAGACCTAAAATTTCAAAACCCAAATCACTGAGCAACCCCAAATATACTAATTAATTTGGACATAGTATATTATATAGTCTATGACTATGTATTAGCCTTTTCTCACCGGGAGTAACGAATAAACTAATCATCTTTCTTCAGAAGCATTGACTATGAACTGGATCTGTTAATTTGAAAACAATTGTTTAAACATTATTTATATTTAAATAAACAGCTAAAATTGTAAAAATAATAATAATAATAATAAAGTTTTAATTAGCGATCTGAAAAGTGATTTCTTGCTATTTCCCGCTAGAGTTATTTGTGTACTTCTAGAAATGTAAAAATACGTACACTAATTATACAAAAAGAAAATTAAATGAATTTCTAAAGTAATTTATTTTTCTTCTGAGTAAATCATGATTGATTATAGATAACAAATGATACATGCAAAATTATGTTTACGTATGTATTTATTTGTTACTTTAATATAAATATCGAATCGACTTCCACAACCTCCCAACCTTATTAGATGATTAACTTCTGATTAATTTTTTCTATCCATTTGATCAACTTGCATTTGATAAACCAAAAGAATAAAGATAAATTGAAACTATGTTATTCTTTTATTCTTTTTTCATCTCATTGACCAAATGGTGAGTAAACATCTGTTCACGTTCACTATCACTTGCATAATTGCCCAACTTGCATTATTGTATTGGTTTTGGAAACTTAATTATTCATTTACTTCTATCATATCGGGTTTCTAATTACAAATCAAACATCTCACTTACTTATACATAATATATGTATAACTCAAATTAAACTAGAATGCAAACCTTAACCCGAAATATAAGGATGTATAAAATCGAATCAAACTGAAAAAAAAAACTCGACTAGTGATTTGTTTTGACTTGGTTTGATGGTGGAAAAAAAAAACCCGACTATATTTAGGTTAGTTTGATTTCAATTAAAAAAAAGCAGTCCGAGATCAAACTAACCCGACATTATATATATAATTTTAAAATTTTATTTTATATGTAAAAATACTTACTTTGATATAATTTTTTAAATATCTCGTATACTATTTCATAGTTTTTATCTTTTAATATATTTATTTCGTGCTTGGAAGTTAGAATTGTTAATGATCTAATAAAGATTATAGCCCATACATGTTGGTGATTATAATAAAGTTTAAATAAAAATCAAATTAATATTAATGCAAAAAGAATATCAGTTCAACACTAAGAATGACAATAATATTGAATATTTGTTTTTTAGTTTTACATAAATTTAGACAATTAAAATACATGATCTAATTTTACTTTCTTTTAATATTTAGTCATCTAAATAATACTTACTAAACTTATTTTAGCATGATTTAGTACTTTAAATTATGATCAATTTCATTATGACTTATTAATTTGCAATATTTATTTTATGAGATTTTATTATTATCTTTTTGTTGAATATTTTAGTGTCATTAATCATATCACTATTTTTTCTTATTTTCTTGAGAAATAACTTAGATAGTTACATTTTGATAGGATTAAAGAAATATATTAATTACAAATAAATTATATCCTTGTAAGAATACATTATCGGAAAAATCCAAAGTTAAAAAACTTGAGTTTTATTGGTTTGGTTTGATTTGGTTTATAAATTCAAAAACCAACACAAATGATTTAGTTTGATATTTGAAAAACCCGAACTAATCCGATCATGTACGCCCCTATTGAAATATTAGGAAAAGAGGTTTTGATTGGCTAATGATAATAATACTTCACTAATATCCACTGAAATGCTAATGATTTCATATTTGATTTGTCATTCTTTCTCAATAGAGGCTTTTAACGTTTTCTTTTGAACATTCAACTATTAAAGCTCAACTCCACTTGCTTAGAATACGCCAAACGAAGTGACTTGACCAAACTAGGTGGGCACCAACAATCTTTTAAAATGTCTACTACCAAGCTCAATTTAACATGTTAAACTCATACCATAAGAACAAAATCCAAGCAAACTTCTCATTCTAATTAGCATTACTGGGATTCAACTCTACCATCACATTGTCAAGAAAGAAGAGAATTGAAAAATGAAGAAAAAGGAATAAGCTTAGAAAATTTGGTGACACCAGTGACTTGCTTATTTCACAAAGGGGTCTTCTGTAACATTCAACTGTCAAGGGTTTCCAGAACGGGCAAACGAGAGCGATGTCCTGATTATTGAGCATTCAAGAAAAGTTCAAAATAAAAATGTATGGCACATAAACCAGTTGGAGTTATACGAAGATTAAACCCCTTTTCTAGCAAACTAAAGAAATAAATACACCCGTTGCAGTAACCAGCTTGGTTTGTTCTTATTAACTAATGATTCAAGCTTTTGTGTCAACAAACTCCAGTTGGACCAATAAAAAGGATTATATAGAAATAACACACAGAGGAGAATGAGTGAGCACATTCAGTTTTGGATCCGGACATGGGTTTGATCAGTACAAATAGACCACTGAAGATTCTACTTTGATTGTGATTCACCTGATGCAATTGCAGGTTCATCTTTCTTTGAAGTCTCCAATTTGCCAGAAGTAACACTCTCTAGCGTATTATAAAACTCCTCAGGAAGAGGACCAGAACGATGAAGGGGAACGTGCTTGGGCACTGGAGCATCATTTTCTATAACTTCACACTCATAATCATCGGGAATACCCCAAGGTTTCCACTCTGTAAGAAAAAACCATTGCTCACAGCTTTAAGTTATATAGAAAATAAAATTGAAAATACTCTTAGCACTTACAATAACAAATTATAACTTCACCTAAAAAGGGTTTGACTCATACCATTCAGAATCTTAAATAAACTTCTTCCCTATAGGAAATCTGCCGGTGAAAGTCTCCCTTAATGGATCATGAAGAAAGACAAATAATAGGAGCTATGATCAAACATATTTCTCATTTCAACATAAAACTCGAGGAAAGCTGTTGTGGATGCATTTGTGGGCAAGACATATGTGCGACAGAGAGCCAAATAACTTGATTTAATTATTACGCTAGTTGTTTTCTTATTATTCTAGAATAGGAAGAATTTAATTATATTGTTAGTAGTTTTCTTATTAGTTTAGAATAGGATTATGTTTCCTAGTTTCATAAGACTTCCTATTACTGTAAGAAGACTCCTATTTAAAAGAGGTTTTGAGGAATAAGAAGTACGCAGATTTTTGTCAGAAAACAAGAGATAGCAGTTCTCTCTTTTAATGAACTCTAAGGTTTAGGTCGATCTAGGAATTCGAACAAAAGCAAGGGAAAATCAAAGGTAGTTGAATTTGATTTCCCTGTGACTCGATCCTTCTCTAAGAATCCTAACTAAAGTACAAGATGTACATACTACAATAAGTATATGAAATAGGACTACAACAAACCCAGTATATAATCCCAACTATTAAGTAGGACAAAAGTTTCAATAAATCAGTCACGTGATGATCGTTACAATTTACGAATCAACAGTACATTCAAACAAGCATACAATGACAGTTCAGTTTTGTTAAATAAATTGCATTTTTTTGACAAGTATTATCAGGGGAAGCAGATAAATGTTGCTTTAAACTCTATAATTCATGAAAGGACAAAGCATATAGAAAGTCACTTTATTCGACAAAATTTTTGAGTGAGATGCACTATTTACAAGTTTTATCAACTCGAATGATTAGATAGTAGATATTCTTATTAGATTATTTCAGAATTACAGAACCAGGTATATTTACAGCAAGCTTCTTATACAACATGTAAACATAAACCTGAGAGGGAGTGTTAAGAATATTAAAAATATGTAAATGTAGCAAGAGCCAAGAAGCCATACCTTGTAAATATGGAAAAATCAAAATCTATATAGTTGTGAAATTAGGAGATCTATAGTATGTAATTACTACCTTTGGCCCAATTTATGTGACACTCTTTCATTTTTAGTCCGTTCCAAAAAATATGACAAATTTCTATATGTAGTAACAATTTAATTTTAGACTTCCCATTTTATCCCTAGGGAGATGATTTATAGGCCACAAATATCTATGGTTTTTTTAAATCATAAAGGTCTTTCTTTAAACTCCATGATCAGTCAAATACCTTCACATAAATTGGGACGACGGAGGGAATACATTTTCTTTTTTCTTTTTTTGTTAACTTTACTTAAATCCCCTATAGCTTAAGTGAAAATCAAGCAATTCTAAATTTGGAATGTTATCTTTTTATCCTCTCTTTACATTCAACCCCAACTCCTTTCACCTCAGTAATCTACTTAGCACAAAACAAGTACTCCCTCCGCTTCAATCTATTTGGACTTACTTCCCTATTTAGTCTGTTACAAAAAAGAACGACTTTTCCCTTTTTTAAGCAACTCTCTAATTTCAACTTCCCACAAGACATGTTTAATTTTAGACCACAAAATTCAAAAGTCTTCTTTAGTTTCATAACCTCCATGCCAAGTCAGAATAGGCCAAACAAATTAAAACAGAGGGAGTAATGTGAAGTGTCTAGCCTTAGTTGAGAAAATCGGCTATAGGCTACTTACATGGTCTCATAATCCTCATTTCATAAGTTACCTTTTTGAGATTAAGTTAAGCCCAATCTTCATTTCATAAGTTAGCTTTTGAGATTAAGTTAAGCCCAACCCTCATTTCATAAGTTAGCTTTTGAGATTAAGTTAAGCCCAAAAATCATTATCTTAACATGTTTAGGCTTGAGTTAGGCCCAAGGAATATTTTCTTAACAGACTAAAAGAAGATGAATAAAATGAATTAAGGATGACTACTAATTTATAGCGCAATAGCTCTATTTATTTGAAGACAGACTAGAGGATCTCCAACAAAAGACTTGTCCACTAGCTTGTCAAACAAAATAAGCATATGTTCAGATTCCCCACAAGTGTGAGAGACAAATTAACAGACAGAAATGAGTAAACAACACAAACAAGAAACCCAATAGGCTAGAACACATAGTAAAGTCCATATATTTGTACCATTGATGCAAAGGGCTGTGTAAATATCAGCAGCGAAGTGGTGCTGATCTTGTAAAGTAAAACCAAAATTTACATAGTGCAAGTGGCAAATTTATCTTACGTTCTTAACTTATTTTGAGAAATCAACTATAACACTACCACATAACACATTCCTTTTTGACGAGTGTTAGATTAACAGGTTTAGACCAACAAATAAAAGTGTGGACGAACTTGATTTGGAACTGAGGCTAATGAGCAGCCTGGAAGCTTTGTCACCATAGAAGAACCAACTAAACAAAGACTTCAACAGTTGCAATGGCATATCCCAATAATGCTTTGTCACAAACTGTTGTGAGGCTATCCGAAATTCCTAATTATAAATATACAAAATTACCTTCAAGGGGATTCATCTTCTTGGTTAGTTCTATAATGTGGTTATTAGACCAACTAAGTTGTACGAGGTGGAATGTTGATCAATCAAGAACTCACACATTCAGAAGATGAAGGTAGCAGAGATGAGGATGTTTAGATGGATGAGTGGGCATACTAAGAGAGACAAAATCAAAAATGAAGATATACGGGACAAGGTGGAAGTGTCTTCGTGGTGGACAAGACGTGGGAATTGACTGCATCAACAAGTGATAATTATTGCATAAGCAAGTCGCAAGCTCATGCATTATTAGTGTGTTTCCTCTTAAGAGAGTGATCCTTAAAAATACCAAACCAAGATATCCTCTCGTTTTTTGCCGCTTACCGTTAGATGATGCAAGAACTTATCACTATCTTTTTCCTCATAGGTTCCTAACCTTGCCAATATTGGCACACCCCAACATTCCGATGTCATTTTGGTATCAGAGCTTTTTGCTTGGGTATTTACCTATTTGCCTTTTATTTGGTGTTAGTTCTATATATTGTATCTTCATCCTTCCCATTTCATTATTGTTTTTACCTTATATCTTTTTATAGTTAGGTTTGTGTCCTTCTATCTTTCCATATTTGCATCCTGGTCCTTGAGCTTTTCAGATTGTTACCTTTGCCCCTTAAGTGTCTCTTATTTGCAGAAGTACTTCTTGTCCTTTACGTGTCACACTATTATGTCACACAGTTGTGTGAACTAGTGCATGTCAAGGAAAGTTTTGTCAAAAGGGCTATACATTGCCTGAATCGTTTTAAATGGAATCATTTGTGACCTTCCGGTCTTTAAATTTTCCTGGTTCATTGTTCATACTTAGTGCCTTTGCAGGACCCAAACATGCCTCGAAGAAATCAAAATCCTCATCAAAAAAATGTCTGTAAAATTAAATTAGAGGAATTATGAGCCCAAGTTAGGCAATTAGAGGCACCACTTGCAAGGCAAGAAACTGTTCAAAGCGAAGCCCCGAATGAAGAAGTGAATACTGACACTTCTGCAACTGAGGAAGATAAGTCAATCCATGCATTGAAGATGTTACTTCATCTCAACAAGTGTTACCTAGATATCGTCCATGAGGTCTAGTTCAAGATATGGAGTTATGGGAATTAAAATTGATATCCCTTATCCTTGGAAATAGCCGACCAAGGTGGCCTCTTGTTTTTTTGGCTATCATATCATAGCAGGGTTCCTAACCTCACCAATATTAGCACATTGACGACATTCCAGCTTCAAGTTCTGTTTGTTTTCCATTGCCTCATACTAGAGAAAATAAGTATCTTGCTAGTAGAGTGATATACAAATAAAATTAGTCAAATTCATACCTCAATTTTACGAAATTATCTATAGTTTTTCAGTGGTGAGTAGGAAGACCAAGATTATATTTTTTGACAAAGTGTACTTCCTAATCAAGTCATCAAGTGAAGCAAAACTGGACCTCTGCTAGTCCACAATTGGATACAATTTACACTAACTGTGTTAATCTTGGCCAAAGTTGCCAGCCTTTTTTGTCCATAATCTATCAAATGCAGTCAATTCAGGTTGAAAATTATTAAGAGATTGGTAGATTACCGGAAGTTCATCTAACTCTCCTACATTTTTCACTAGGTCAATCCCCATAATCATAGTACCAAACAGGGAAATCAAAACATAGATCTACTATTGTCTCATCAATCATTCACTCAGTATAAGGAAAAAATTCCCCATGTTTAACAATTGCATAGAAATTCAGCATTCAATAAAAAATGGACAAATAAAAGAAACAGACACAGACGCACACGTATAGGTATATACACATATGAAGTAAAAATGGAAGACATGAGTTTTGTTTCTGTACGAACCGTTCATGTGGCCGATGAGCTTAAGCTCATCCTGAGCTTCCTCAATTAACTCTTCAACCTGGCCACAACCAAGCCGCTTCTCGATCATTTCCGAATCTGCTTCCTCCTGACAGACACTAAGACGGTGGCGCGTAAAGCTTTCCACGGCTTTCCGGTATCCCTCGTCCTCCGGCACAGCCTTGATCTCCTCTAGAGTTTTCCTGTAAAGATTAATCAGAACTTCCCTCGCATTTGGCACAACATCAAGACCTACGATCCCCGTCGTCTCCTTCACTTTCGCCATCATCACCAATGGCCTCGCTATTCTTCGGAGAAACATTTTTCCGACTCGTCGGTCGACTGTAACTCTGAGACCCGCTCGGAGCTCTGAAGAAGGGAAATCCTCAACCTTCAGCTGATTGACTCATAATTTTGGCCTGTTTGACAAATGATCAGAACTATCTGGGTTGGGTTAACTTTTCTACAAGTATTGGGCCCATTTATCTACTTTCTATATTCTTGTATAATTGGTGTATATTTATTATGATGATATTAGGCTATTTTTTAAGTAAATAAAAATAATTATAACTATTGTTAACTTATTACGTACTTTATTATGTATATATATTAGGGAAAATTATATGAAATGGCAAACATTCATAACTAATTATATGTTAGGGGTATAGTTTAATTTATTTACATTATATAATTATAGTTTATTTTATTTTGCTATAATTAATGGGGGCCCACAACCTATTATGTAACCAATTGTATAAAAATCTTATTTTCTAATTTTGTATATAATTATACACAATCTAATTTTCTCTCTCCTTTCCTCATTTTAACGTCTTCTCCTACATTTAATACTCCAATATCATATTTGAATTTCGAATTTTTGTCCAAAATTTCAGTAATCCCTCTTGAAGTTGAAGTCTCCTCCCTAAGTTGAAGTCAATTTCATAAGTTATCCTTAATTTTAGTTGTTTACCTTTTTTTTCTAACTTATCTAAAAATTGTATATGTGTTCTGTTTTTTTTCCATATATTTTGATGAAATAATCGTTTTTTTGTTCTTGATAGATCTAAAATTCGTCAAACAATGAACGAATCGTCTACATCTTTGAGGATTACCAGAGGTAGTCCTTTGCATGTCAATGTTGTTGACATTTTACCATCCTTTTCAATGGGGCTAACTCAAGAATTTGGGGTTAATGTAAGGTCTTTGGGAAAATCAAAACAACTTATACAAGAACAAACCATGGAAGAGTTGAGATCAAAGAAAAAAAACGACCCTATGGCAGTTCAACAAGTTAACCATGGCGTTCCAATGCATTCATCAGTCCCAAGGAAAGAGGCTCCGGTACAACAGAACTTGCCTTGTAATCTTGAGGATCTCTACAAGGGTACCACCAAAAAGATGAAAATTTCTAGAGAAATTGCCGATTCGAGTGGCAAGAGAATTGTGCAAGAGATTCTGACAATCGAAATTAAACCTGGGTGGAAGAAAGGTACAAAGATCACCTTCCAAGAAAAAGGGAATGAGCAGCCAGGTGTTATACCAGCTGATCTGGTCTTCATAATAGATGAGAAACCTCATAAGGTTTTCTCGCGTGATGGAAATGACTTGATTGTCACACAAAAGATTCCTTCGGCTGAAGCTTTAACCGGTACTAATGTCCAACTCACTACTCTGGATGGAAGGAACTTAACAATTCCAATCAACAACGTGATTCAACCAAATTATGAACATATCGTCCCAGGTGAAGGCATGCCGCTTCCAAAAGATCCGTCAAAGAAAGGGAATTTGAGGATCAAGTTTGACATCAAGTTCCCTGCTCGTCTCACTGTGGCTCAGAAATCTGGTATCAAAGAGCTGTTGGGTTTAAAACACAAACTTAGATACAATTTTTTTGTTAATTAGTTGTCAATATACAAAAACCATTAAATTAAGTATTGTATATAGTATATTCCATGTGAGTAATTGTATATAGTATATTGCATGTTTATGTTATTTTTGGTTTTTGTATATATATACAAAATAGTAATTGGACTTAGTTATACAGATGGAAAATTTGAATATATGATTAGAATTTGTATATTCTATTAGAATACATTTACAAAAATTGATATGTACATGTCTGTTTTAATAGCTAGTAGTAGCGATTGTATATAGATGGGGAAATATCATATGTGATTATAATTTTGTATATTGTAGTAGTTATATATAAATTATCGAATATAATGTATTGAATATGCATATACAATTGATAAAAACATTGAATAAGTGTTAGTATATACTATATACAATTAAAAACCTGAATAACATATATCTCTTGTTATACAAATTCGTAAAATACATTTTTGTACATGTATATATTTATTCAATAAGATTGTATATGTATATTTATTGCAATCTAATTGGATGTGCATATACAATAAAAGACATTGAATACGTGCTGGTATATACTATATACAAAAAAGGTAAGTTCATATATATAAACAGAAAATAATCTGTGAATGGCTTTTTATTTTTATTTTTTTTATATATATAGGTAGGTATGTATATACAGAAATTAATTTGTACATGACTTATTATAAACAGATTTTTTTTTTTGAATTTGAACGTATGGCTTGAAAATAGGGACGTTTCCCTAAAATTGTGGCATTATCTTGATTTATTATTACCATATTTAATGCTTCAGTTACAAACAACTTTTTAAAATAAAATTGTATAAATAATAAAAAAAAATTTATATACAAAATTAAAGACACCTTTAATAACTTAACTATACCCATATTATGTAATTAGGTAAACTATACCCATATAATGTTATTTAATCTAATAAGTTTGCCATATATGAAATTTTCCCTATATATTATGAGGGTAACCTTTTTTATTCCATATTTTTTTACTTTGTTTTGTAATTATTTTTAAATACTCTCAAAATTTAGTGAGAAATTAAATCCTATTCCTAAAGAAAGTAGGAGAAATAAATAAAATAGGAATATTCATCTCTATATATACTCTGTTCCTTCAAAAAATATTTCTTTCACATGAAAACCTAAAATTGTTCTATAATTGTTTTGTGTTGGATTTGCTCGTGTTGACCAATGAGTTACCCTGAATCTTTTATATATAATCTGCAATTATTGCACTATATTCGTTTATGCTTGTATTTCTTATAATGTTGGTCAATTAGCTTACTTTTCGCCGAAATCAAGTATTGCAATTGCAGAGAAATTCAAATTTAAAAACTCAAAAAATTCTCATTAGCTTGACGTGGAAAATAAATTTTAGTCAGAGTATGATCTAGGAAATCAAGCTTCGTTAAAAATCTTTTATGTGACAATTCCACCACTTACCTGATATACTTGAATATGCAAACTCAACCTTGAATGGCGTGTGGACCCTCGAAGGGGAGCTTTAGAGCAATGGTAAAATTGTCTATGTGTGGCCTATAGGCTATAGGTCATGGGTTCGAGTTGTGGAAGCAATCACTAATGCTTGCATTTGAATAGACTGTCTACATCACACTCTACTCCGGCTCCCTTATGGTGCAACCCTGCTAATGTGGAAAGCTTTATACACGCGGCTACCCTTTTATATATAGATATAATTTTTTACTAATAATTTAAATAACCTCTGAAACAAAAAAAAAAAAAAGAACTTGGAAGCATCTTCTTTTTTTATTAAAAAAAAAACAGTCAAAGTTGAATAGTGATTTGAAAGGTTTAGCCATTTTTCTCCTTTTTCTGAATTATTAGGGTTACATGAAAGGGTTTTATGGAGAGTTTTATATATATATATATATATATATATATATATATAACACAACTCCCTACATGTGAATGACTTGTGATTTGTTGGTGTTTAAATGGATAATTAATTAAATAAAATTTGAGTAAAATTATAATTGTGGTTATAAATATAAATTATATATTTTCTTTTGTATTTATAATTGTTTTCGTCTTTCGTCTTGGCGTGAGCTATGTACTGACCTTGTTTTCCTTTTTGAGAAATTGCAACCATGCTATTATATGCAGAAATAAAACAAGAGAAAGCGAAAAAATAATATTGGTTAAATAATAAATCAAGGACCAAATAATAATTTTATATATATAATATTGAATTTCTTAAATGTACTTTTTAATATAAATTACAAGTAAAACATAAAACATTATACTTAAAAGTATATTAATTATGGATGACAACATAAGAAAATAAACTAAATCATAATGAAAATAACTAAAAAGGGACAAAAGTAGTTAACTCCAACTTAATTAATTCTAAACATATATATAATTTCTTGATTGTTAGATTGATAATTAATCTTGGAGAACTATATTTAGTATACTCTGTCAAACATTCGTGGACGGAGGGAGTATCTTTCTTTGAGTAATATAATTTTAAAACCATTTTTATAGAAGTAGAATTTCAAAGATAATAACAATATATTGGTATAGACAGAGGCGAATCCACGTTGGTTCCAGGCATCACCCAAACTCACTCGGCAAAAACTTACACATATATATATGGTAATCTTCTACATTTATGTGGATATATATTATTGAACCCCCTAAATGACAAACTGAAACAAATAGCCTAGTTGTAGGTCTCTTGAAAATTAACCTTCATGTCGAGGGTTAAAATCCTTGCGTTAGCATTTTTTTTTTCAGTTTGATTTTACACTTTTTTTTTTAGTTTTTTATTTTATAAAGCATGTTAAAAGTATGATTTTAAATCCCAAAAAAAGTTCAATGGTCTGTCACTAAAATTATGTACTATTACTTTCTTGAAATTTTATTTCATTGACTTATATATACACTTATATTTTTATTTTTCGAATATCAAAATGAAAATTTTGAATCCACGACCAAGCGCAGAAATTTGACCAGATATTTCATCGGATACGTGTGAGTAAGCTAGCCTGAGATAGACTGATTAGTATTAATATATACTATTATAAACATTTGGAGTACTGGATGGTGGGCTTGTGGCCTAGTGATTTAATACAACTTGAATCATTTAGTTTCAGATTTAAATTTTTGTCCATAAATATATCAGATGATTTTTTTTATTTGTCTAAGCTTAGATGAATAGAATTACTTAATATATATTGGTGGTGAAAAATAACACATATTTAGTGAAATTAACAGGAGTCCGTAGCTTAAAGGGTATATTATGTTAATAAAAATTCTAAAATGGTATATGAATATTTATTTTGACCAAAAGGACAAAATTGCTGGAAGGGCAGCGACTTTGCTTGCCGAAAAAAGTAAAATCGCTGCCTTGACAGCGATTTCTAAATTTTTTTTTAAAAATAATTTTTTAATAAATCGCTCCCCAAAGAGCGATTTTCTTAATTTTTTATTTGAAATTAAAAAAAAAAAAAAGGAGCAAATCGCTGCAAGTGCAGCGATTTGTCTCCAATTTTCTTTTATGTTTTTCTAAATCAATTTTTTAGAAAAATTGTAATTGCTACTTATTTTAAAAAATTATTTAAAAAAAATATTTTGAAATAAGTAGTAGAAAAATTTAAAATTAAAATTTCTTTAAAAAATTTAAATTTAAATTTTAAAAATTGTAAAAAAAAAAATTAAAAAAATTGATTGGAAAAAATAAAAAAAAAAATTGGAGGCAAACTAGGAGCAAATCGCTGCAAGGGCAGCGATTTGTCTCCAAATTTTTATTTTTTTTTCCAATCAATTTTTTTAATTTTTCTTTTTACAATTTTTAAAATTAAATTTTAATTTTAAATTTTTCTACTATTTATTCCAAAATAATTTTTTTTTATAATAATTTTTTTAAAAATAATTTTTTAAAACAAGTAGCAATTATAATTTTTCTAAAAGATTGATTTAAAAGAATATAAAAGAAAATTGGAGACAAATCGCTGCACTTGCAGCGATTTGCTTTAATTTTTTTTTAATTTCAAATAAAAAATTAAGAAATCGCTCCTTAGGGAGCGATTTATTAAAAAATTATTTTTTAAAAAATATTTTAGAAATCGCTGCCAAGGCAGCGATTTTACTTTTTCTGGCAAGCAAAGTCGCTGTCCTTCAAGCGATTTTGCCCTTTTGGTTAAAATAAATATTCATATACCGTTTTAAAATTTTTATTAACATTGTATACCCTTTAGGCTCCGGACTCAAATTAACAGAGGGCAAGGTGCATAAAAGTGTCTCTATATATATAAATTGTAAATGTTTCGCTTGCAATAAATCAAAATAAAATAAAATATCTACTTAATTATTAAATATTAAAAAAATATATTCAGCAACGATCAAATAACATATGGTTAAACTTCCAAAAATATAACAGAAACTTTCTATATGTCACAGTAAGTACTTCCAAAAATGTAACAACAACTTTCTATATGCCACCGTAAATATTACAATAATAATCATGAAGATCAATTTTGAGTAATAATTTTCTCATTATCAATGATCTAGGTTCTAATGTTTTTTTCTTAATTAAAAAATTAAGAACACTTGCAAATTGCATAGTTACCTATTCAAATGTAAATAATGTTAGAGCATATGAAAAGATAGACATAATATCAATATTTAATTAGGGAGTATAATTAGAAGGTAGAGTTCATGTAAACACATTAGTTGATACAATAATTATCACATTTACAAATAATATTTCTAACATGAGATTAAAACCTACGAATTTATATAATAATAGAGATCAAACATGCAATTACAATACACGTTCTCACAACTGATATTATTAAAATATCCTTTTATCACCATTTCATATTTTTTCTAATTGGGGAAGTTTTGTATTTTGTACAAAATAAAATTTTATCTTTCTCCAACTATAAATTGAAGTCCTATTCTTTTGAAAAATAAGTAACAATATAAGATCTCTACCATATTGAAAAGTATTACTCTTGAATTGATTTTTTTAATTTTTCAGTTGCTAAATTTAGAATTATAATGAAATTCTATTTACTTGGTCAAAATCTTAGGATACCCTTTTATTTTTTGCTTTTTGTTTCTATGAGAATCTTCTCATAAAAAATAGTTAATACTATTTTTCCAGTTTTAAAAAAATAGCTAACTAAAGAAGAAAAACTAAGAATTATAAAATAGGTCAAATAACATGGTACAAAATTTAACTCCCTAAAAAAATATGTCAAAAAAGGTCATTATAAATATAAGATATTCAAATATATATGGGTTATAAATATATAAATGTACTAGTAGGAAAAACATGTCAAAAAAGGTCATTATAAATATAAAATATACAAATGTATGTGGGTTAAATATATAAATGTACTAATAGGTAAATTAATTAAATTATAACTATGTTTAATAATGAACTAGTATAGATACTTATTAACGTATCTAATTTTTCCAATTTGGTAATTGATATTACATACTGGCTCTGCCACTGTTTGGTATTACATCTTGAGAGAAAGCACTAAAGCAATTTAAAAAGAAAATGTCAGTGAGAGTGTTGAGATAAGGATAACCAAAAAAAAAATAAAAATTATGTGCTTATCTAATTAATAATTTTTGCAATACTTCTTAGGAAAATTTACGTGAAATGACAAACATTTATCGTATACGATGCTTCATGGTTACACTTACAGATATGTTTATTAGCGGTTATAATTTCTTAAATTTTGTTATTCAGTTTCTAATTGTATAAATTTAGAATTTCAATAATTTATTTGTACACGATTAATTGATACATTTTATTTGTATAAGTTATGAAAAAATCATGATAAACTATTGTGTTTGTATATTTGTAAGCAAAATATACATATGGAGTTTCAAAAAATTCCTAAATGTATAAACACAGAATTTACATATACTAATCATGTTTGTATATTGAAAGCGAAACATACAAACGAATATACCCATAGCAAACAAAAATATATGTATGGAGTATAATTAAGCAAATTGTAATAATAAAGAGTTATTTATTTCACTTACTTGCTAAAAAATGAGATAGTAAAAATAGTAATAATATAGTTTTAAAAACAGTGAATAATCGTAGTTGAAAATATACGGGGTATATAAAGTATGTGTGATATACATAAAAATATATCAAGTTATACGCCTTTGATATTTGAGTAATATAATGTATATAATTAGAGTATTATCATATTAACTTCTGGATAAGTTATATTAATATTTAAGGTTAGAGAGTATACTAAGAGATCGATAATGAAAATTATGATTAAGGTAAGAATCTCAAGTGAAAGTTGTGTGAGTATTTTTCGTTATTTATTATATTTTCTAATTATGCTTTATTAAAAACTCTTATATCTATCTAGACTAGGTCCGATGACAAAAAGTGAAAAATATTAGAGGTGTAGAATCCTAGCAAGTAATACCAATATAATGGTCATGACCTATTGTTTGCTCTTTCCTCAATTTTCAATTTATTTTATTTATCCTTGTTAAATTTTCATATTTTGGATGATTTGGTTACACTTTGAATACTTTACGAGGTATATCTCACGATATCATCTATATATATATTAAGTAACTCAATCCGTCTAAATTTAAATAGATGAAAAGACCTTCACTAAAATTTGAATCTAATTCAAATATCAATAGTTCTTCATGACTTTTTCATTTTTTTCATTACTCTATTTTGATTTTTAGTTTGAGTTTTTTTGTCATACTATTATATATGACAACAAATGAATTATTTAATAGGGAACACAGAGAAAGAAAAATGTCAAATTAGATTGGTTAAAGTGGGGAACATTTAGGTTTTTGTCCACACATCCATAACATCATTTACAATATATTAAAAAATTGAATACTTATCAAAATTATGAAAATATATTGTAACGATCGGGTTTCATTGTTATATAAATGAATGAGAAAAATTGAGGCCGAATTTTTTTTCGTAGTACTAGAATTTTCCTAACTTTGTTCAGATTTGAAGGAATTTGGAGTCATCAAGGGGTAGGGATATATGGTAGCAATCGGGATGGAGTAAATGTGGATTTGATTACATGAATGGATAGATAACTCGTGAAGGAATTCGTACGGCTTTACGACATCGAATTTGGATAAGTAGATTACCGGAGTTGATTTGGCTTTAAGAGAACTTTCTGAGCGTAGTGGGCTAAGAGTATGTTGTGAAAGGGAAAAATTGAAAAACTCTAAGGAGCCTACTGCCTCGCTTTGTGCCGCTGCAGTGACGCCACTAAAGCGGGATCGGTGTCGCTGTAAAGGGCGAGGCAGAAATGGAATTAAAGAATTTTGGGATTTTTCGAGGCGGAGCTCACTGGTTCACTTTGTGCCGCTGCAGCGAAGCTGCTACAATGGGATGAGTGTCGTTGTAGCGGGATGACGGGTTATTAAATCGTAAATAAAATTCTTAGACGACTTTATTTTGTACTATTCAACTTTTTGAGTTAAGAGACGAACCCTGGACTATTTCAACTCTTTTTCCTCCATTCTTTAAACTAGAGGTAAGCTTTTCACTCCCCGAATTTATTTTTCAATTCGTAGAACATTTTAGAATGGGTCAAAATTGATGGGCAAGGATTTCTTGATGAATTCTATGGTGGAATTAACCCTAAATTGACTAGTTGGGGTCATGAGTTTGAAGTAGGGTTCATAGTTTGTTAGTATTCCGGGAACTTAGTATTTTTTTTATTGATTCTCGTATATAAATTTATTTTTGTAGACCATGAACAATCGGAGCGAATCCAAAAAGGAAAAAATCCAGTTATTTAGGATTTCAAACTTGTTTCGAGGTAGGTGATGGTTGTGATTCTATAATTGTGTGATATACACTTACTTTGCTTCGTTGTGATACTTGTATATATATGCATGTTGAAATATTGATCATAAATGTTGAAATAAGATATATGAATATCGATACCATGAAATCATGGCTTAAGTGTGTGATCTTAATGTGTTATTGTGATGTGTGATCGGGATCGACTGTCACATTCCAGCACACTGATTTGGATCGAATTATCGCGTTCCGACATGCCAACTGGGATTGGTTGCCATGTTCCGACATAAAATTGGATTGTATTTTCATGTTCCGACATGTTAACAGTTTGACTTTGGGTTCCGTGAGAGGACCAACTATGTGATGAACCATGTGAATTGTGATGTTGATTCTTATGATAGTATTGAATAAGTTAATATTTATGCATGTGTTATAATGATGAAATTGCTTGTTTATGCTACACTAGTGGATACCAGTACATGGTAATTGTGTATTGATTCTGCACTTGCTCTTATTTTTGTTGAGTACAGGGCATCTTCACGTGGCTGATGACAGACCTCGCTTAGGAGATCGGTGATCGCTTCGAGTTCAAGGGTGAGCCACATCGTTCGAGTTGCCATGGAATTCTCTTTAGCCTATGTCCACCATTTTCGGACCTAGACCTTGTTTTAGTTAGTTAGATAGCTCACTAGAAATTCTTGTTAGACTTGGATCTCGTTTCTAGTTTTGATACATTGACTTTCAGATTCTAGGTTTATCTTCAGCATAGTTAGTTATTAGATCTTTATTTAGTAATGAAACCTTAGTTATTTAACTTGCTTCCCTAACTTAAATACCTTAGTATCTAAATTTATTGCTTTGATTGGTTGCTAGTAGTGGTTCTTCCACCGAGTTATAATATGGGTGTCAATCAAAATGATCTGAATCGTGACAATAATTAAATACTCTAGAAACACGTACAAACACAATATAATCTAGAGATATAGTAATATATAAGCAATATATTCACATTTCAAGTTGTATTCACATTTTTCTTCAGCACCTACGCTACATCTTTTTCATTAGAAAAAATATGAGAAATGTTTTTTTCCATTCCTTATGTATAGCTTTTCCCCCCAACTCTTTTAAATGCAGTTGTTGAAGTAATCCTGGTCATTATCTTCAGCAAACTTAAATATAAGAATAATTTAGTCAAATAACCCTTTAAATTAATCTTCTTTCAGAGGTAAAAAATAAACATGACAAATAGTACAAAAGTTGAATATTGAAATAATGTATTACTTCATTAATGATGCAAAACTTTTGTATTTATAATTAAAATTTATATGTAGAGATTGCATTAAATGCTACTCCTAGCAACATTAGAAAACTTATACTTATTCTAATTATATATTTTCTAGATGTATAACTTGTTGGAGTTTTCAAAATCCATGAAAATTTTGTCATATGTAATCTCCTCCTCTTCAATTATATCACCTTTGTTCTCCACAACATCATCAACCATTTCATTATTTTTCTTAATTTCAGGTTTAGGTGCAGTTGAAGAGGCATCAACTTTGACACGCTTAGCACGTTTGGACGATGACGATGACGATGACGATGACGATGATGCGTTCAATTTTAACGCCTTTGGCACAATATTTATACTTTTTGGAAGTCTGCGTTTGGAAATATTGTTGTATAAAGCAAGAGACCTACGAGATGGAGGAGGATCATGGTTGTGTACATCAGAATAGGACACCAAAAAATACTTCTCATTCTTTGGGCTTTTCTCAATTATTTTTGTTGCTTTGCAGTTTGATGCACTGCATTTAAAGTAGTTCCTGATACACAAAATATAATATTACATTTGTTTTTACATTTATCATTAATAATTTTTTTTTTATATTGAGAAGTTAAAAATAAAAAAAAGAGAGCAAACCTTGGAAATGGAGAACCTTTGATTGACTTCTGACCATACTTTTGCCACGCCCATTTATCATCTGTGAGTTCCTCTTGCAACACTTCATTGAAAACTCTTGGTGACTGATCTCTTCTGTTTCAAATCAAAAGTATATATTAATATCAAAACACTCTAAACACTTCTTCAAAAAATTAAACAAATTTAAGTACGTTACCTTTTAAAGGTTCTGATCATAGAATTCTGCACGGGCATAGTGATGTTAGGATAAACTTGATCATGTACCACAAGTTGTTGCTGATTTACTGATTCTTCTGGTGTTGTTGTTGTTGGTAAGGGGGGAAGAAAGATTTGTTGCCTAAATTGTGGTTCTAAGTACATCATTGGATTCTTATTTTGATTCATAATTATAACCTGGTCATTTGATTTTTCAAGTTGTTGATGTACATAAATCGACTCTTGTGGTGTTGTAGTTGTAGTCGTTGTTGGCACACCCGTCGTCACTGTTGTTGGTAATGAAGGAAGAATGTTTTCTTCACTAAATTGATTTGGTTGAGTTGGATGTAAATACATCTCTTGGTTTTGGTTTGTGATTACGACCTGATCATTTGATTTTTTCTCGCGACCAACTGAAAAATCTAATGTTTTCTCAAAAGTATACGAGTCATTTTCAGAAGCAGTAACATTGGTAGGCTTATTAATAATAATATTACAACTCCTTACTACAGCACTTAAATCCCAATCATTATCCTCCATTTTAAATTAAAAAAAAAAAGTGTTTATTAAAAGAAGTAAGGATGTTTCTGTAAAGAGAGGAGCTAAGAAAAATATCAAAGACTGGGATGAAGAGAGATGAACCAAATTTACGTGTTATATAGAGAAGTTAGCGACGTACCTACCCGCTCCATGCACATCCATAATTAATTGGTATTTAATGAGAATTTAATTTACTTTTCCATTTTATTAAAAGGATAATTAGAAGATAATAAGAAAGAGAAGATAAAATTAATATTTTGTACCCAATTTGTTAAGAGTGTTGAAAAGTGTGATTTTTTAAATTAAAAAATTCTTAAATATTGAAAAGGAAGTCCCCTAAGAAAAGAAAATTTGCAATTTCAATGATTTTATGCCCCTTAACTTTACAATAATCCCAAAGTGGGGCAATAAATTATAGTTAATATGTTCTCTAAGAAATATATTTAGTGCAACATGACCATATCACATATTAAAATGTTAATAACTTTGATAAAGCAACAATATATGTTATATATGCTTCAGATTTTTAGATGTTGTAATGTGTTGAAAAGAGAAACTACACGCATGCACTTTCTAACTTTGATGGAAAACTCGAAAAATTGTTAAATGCAAGTCTACATAGATTAAATTAAAAAAAAAGACTAGTATATAAAATATTTTGTGTTTACGGAAGTCTACATAGACTAGATCTAAAGACAACTAAATGCATTAAACACTGAGTTCATACATAATGTAACCATCGAGTTTCGTCATTATAAAAATACAAACGAGGAAAAATTGGGGTGGAAAAAATATTTTGTTGTAGTATTAGGATTTTTTCAACTTTGTTCAGGTTGGAGGAAATCGGATTCATCAAGGTGTAAGGAAATCTGATAGTAATCGAGTAGAGTGAATAGGAATTTTATTACATAATCGGTTCGATTAGTCGTTAAGAAATCTGTATGACTTTATGAAATTGAATTTGGATAAATAGATCTCCGGAAATCGATTGTAATGTTAAGGGTATTTTCGAAGTGTAGTGGATTCACAGTGTGTTATAAAAAAAAGGAAATGAAACTCCCTTAAGGAGCTCACTATCTCGTTTCTTGCCACCGCAGCCGGGTTATTGCTGTTGCAGCGACACCGTTACAGCGGGATGGGTGCCGCTGTAATGGATGAGACGGGGATGAATTTATAATATTTTTGAAAATTTTCAAGACGAGCACACCGTTTCAAAAAGTGTCGCTGCAGCGACGCTACTACAGCGGGATGAGTGCCACTATAGCAGGATGACATGATTTAATTCGTAAATAAAAACCCTTAAACGATATTATTTGACACTTTGCGACTTTTAGAGCTAAAGAACAGCCACTGGGAGATTTCAATTCGCTTTCAACCATTCTTAAGGCTAAAGTAACCTTTTCAGTCCCTGTTATTTTCTTTTCGATGCGTAAAACGTTTTAGAAATGGATCATAGTCGATGAGGAAGTGTTTCTTGATAGAATTCATGGTTGGAACAACTTTAATTTGTCTATTCAGGGTCATGAGTTTGACCTAAGGTTCATGCATTTGTTAGGGTTTCAGTAAATTAATGATTAATTATTAATTCTCATATATTATTGATTGTTTGTAGACCAAGAACAAGTGGAACGAATCCAAAAAGGGAAGGATCAAGTTTCTTAGGGTTCCAAGCTTGTTTCAAGGTAGGTGATGGTTGTGATTTTATGACCGTGTTATATATACTTGTGCTTGTTTCATTGTGATACTCATATATGTGTGCATGTTGCAATATTGATCATAGATGTTGAAAAATAAAATCATGACTTAAATGTGTGATCTTGACGTGTTCTTGTGATGTGTGATTGGGATGGAATTTTCACGTTCCGGCATGCTAACAGTTGGATCGGATTGTCATGTTTCGCATGCTAACAGTTGCATTGTCAAATGCTGGCATGCTAAATTTTGGATTGATTGCCACATTTCGGCATGTTAATAGTTAGAATTTAGGTTTCGTGAGAGGACCAACTGTGTGATTATCATGTGAAGAATTTTGTTGACTTTTTATGATGATATTGAATATGTTGGTATATATTCATGTTATTATAATGTTGTTTGACTTGTTTATGTTATGCTAGTGGGATAGTCACGTGATCCTACTAGTACACTATGGTTGTGTACGGATTCTGTAATTGCTATTATTTGTTGAGTACAGGACATCTTCAAGCAACAATTAATAGACCTCGCTTAGAAATCAGTGATCACTTCGAGTTCAAGGGTAAGCCACTTTGTTCGGGCTGCCACGTAATTCTCCTTGTCTATGTCCAAACTTTCTGGATATAGACTATTGTGTTAGTTAGTTCAATATAATTCTTGTTAGACTTGATTATCGTTTCTAGTTTCGGTGCATTGACTTTCAGATTTTAGGTTTATCTTCTGCATTGTTAGTTAGTCATTAGATCTTGATTTAGAAATGGAACTTAACTTAGTTATTTAACTTGCTTTCGTAACTTAAATGTCTTAGTTTTAAATTTCTTGCTTTGGTTAGATGGTATAACGGATCTCCCACTGAGTAGTTAGTATGAGTGTCAATCAAGACAGTTTAGGTCGTGATACATAATTAGAAACAATGTCACTGTCTAAAAGGTGTGATGTAAAGAGTCTATTTTGATACAAGCATTAATGGTTGCTTGCATCTTAGATAGACTAGATTCTCATAATTAGAATAAAATAAAATTACTGACATTGTATAAGGTGATATTCAAATTTGGCACGCGGACTGATTGAAAATTGATCGAGGTGCATGAAAATTGATTTATCTCTCGGTCCCAATATAATATACATAAGTTGCTTTGACATTTGATCACAATTATAAACTTGAGTACCTAAGTTACACAATTATATATAATTTAACAAAGTCATACAGTATCTAATGCACCCTTACTTTGGTCATAATTGCAAAATTAAGAGTTCATGAATTACATAGTTCCATAGTTTAACGCAAAACACTAAATTATCGTCTGAAATCTCCACTCCATATAAATTGAAAAGAGATGGATCGAATTGAAGCAGTTACCAGAATATCATTGTTATGCCACTCCTCCAACACTTTGGTCATCTTGAATTTCACCAAGCGCATTATTTTTTCTTTATGCTATGCCTTGTCAAAATCATCAAGAACAAAAGATCCCAACCAATAAGCTCGGATTTACGTGAAGTTCCAGTAAAAAGAACGTTATTTGTTCTCCTAAGCAATAAAAAATGAGATTAAATGTGATCTAAAGAAGCTACTTCTTGCCTAAGAATACCTTAAGTTTCTCCTTTTGATGAGAACATATTAAATACACAAGAATTGACAAAATTGTTTACTACCAAATTAAATATTTCAAATATAGTGTAGAAGCTGAATGTAGAAATACATACGACAGACCTCTTACAACTAATAATTTCACTGCCTTTTCATTTGCTGCACTCACAAACTTCATTCATGGTCTCTCCAATATAATCCAAGCCTACAATTATAATTAGAATTACTTATACTAAGTTGAAAGGAAATTTTATAGCATTATTAATATTTGAAAGTACATAAATGAAGTTGTAAGCAAATATTCGTTTATAGTAATCTTAGAGGAATAAACAAATAAAATGCATTCACAAAAGAAGAATGTTTTTTTTACTTGCTAAGACCAACATAAGGTTAAGTAACCTCTGAAAATTGAAAAATATAAAGAACTGGTAAAAGCATATCGTGTCATCCCAAAATCCTATATATTATAGAAGAAATATAAATTTTAAAGGCCATAAATATTAGCGTAATTATTCAGAAATGATAATGTTGTCAACAAAGTTGAACTGTAATATGAAATTCAAAGGCCATAAATATTAGCACACTTAATGAGAAATGACAATGTTGTCAACAAAGCTGAATTGTGAAGTAAAGAACTTAGAATGTACAACTCTCATAGACTCGATAGACAAAATTTCTTCAAGGGAAAAGAACGATTACAAATCAAAAGAGGAGATTTAATTGAATTGTAAGGAATAACATAGAGAAATTTGATACCACGAGGACAAGGAGAATTGTTATGGAAACAACTAGAATCATATCTAGGAAATATCACTAAGCAGACTTGCAGCTTTCACATATGCGCATTAGATTAACCAAGGAAATTTCACTTTACTGCATTGTATTTAAAATTAAGAATTTTATTTTTGATTACTAATTCTAAACACGTTTAATCATAGAAAAGTAATTATGTATCCATCCAACCATTCTTCAAATGCTTGATCTTCAAAATATTAAAACTAAATTTTTAAGATTTTTAACTATGAAAATGAAAGCTAGTCTCTGTCCAAATACAATAATAGCCTTAGAGAAGTTTATTAACTTCCTTGAGCTATAATTTAAGAATCTAAAAACTAAATGTACTTCAAAATCCAAATCCAACATAATGACATGTTCATTCATTCGATAACATCACTTAGTACAATTTTTGAAACGTTGTTCGATAACCTAAGAGGTAACTTTGAGCTTATTCATATTCAAATGGTATCATTAGAGGCGATGGTTTTTTGGAAATAACCTCCTGACCTTCACAAGGTAGGGATCAAATCTTCCTACACTCAACCCTCCTTATACCCCGCATGTAAGATTGTACTGGTATGTTATTGATATTGAACTATCTAACTTTTGTTTCATGTGTCGTTGAATTATCTGACTTTTGTTCCATTTATCTTGTTACAAGATTAGTGTATACTCTAAAATACTATGTGTATTTTGTATAACAACATCCACAGTAAGACTTAAAGATGAAGAAATACCTAAAATGAGATGTCGATCTTGTTACCTATAAAAGGAGATCACATGAAAACAAAAGGATAAATAAGAACACACTAAGAATGTCTTATAACAAAAGTCGTCAAAAGCATGATCATAAAATTCATAAAGAATGTTCTGAAACAAAAAGTCCTCTGATTTCTCATTTGCACACGTCCTTCATTTTGTCTTTAAAAGTGCTACATTT